CTCTTCTTAAATTAGCTATAAATATCAATAATTGCCTTTATTTAGGCATTCTCTGTGGAGGTTTTACCCTCTCTTATTTTATTTTATTTTATTTATTATTTTTTAACATATCCCTCTTCACCTGTGAGGAGGAACATCCGACTTGTCAAGATATATTTCAACATTTTAGCAAGTTGTTTATCAGTAACACCCACTCAAAAAGTATGTTATTTTTCGTTTAATTTTTTTTTTTTATTGACCAAATAAAATGTAATAAAAAAAATGCTATCGGATAATATTATGACATATCAACCATAAGGTCTCAAAGTTCTCAGTTTCAACCACAATTGACCTCTTCTTAGATTAGCTATATATATTAGCAATTGCCTCTGTTTGGGGATCCTCTCTGGAGATAAATTCACAAGGAACAAGATATAAATGTTAACAATTGCCTTGGTTTAGGAATCCTCTTTACAGGTGATATGTCATAATTTCTTTGAATTTTAGTTAGTATAGTTGTACCAGATAGACCAACCTACAACATGGGTTTTTTTTTTTTTTTTTTATTTTTTACTTACTATATAATGTTATGAAAAATGCGCTATATCGAAAGATATTATGATATATTATATCACTATATTTTAAAATAAAGTCATTAATGAAAGACAAAGGAGACAGAAAGTTAAGAGATACAGGAAATAGAGACGCCGCTTAGAGGAGAGAGAAGATAATCCGTGATGAAAGATCAAGAAGATAACATTGAAAACTTATCTCTTTGTCAATGTGTTTGGTTATAAATTTTAAATACAAAGATATACTACTACTTATTTATTATTCTTATTTTAATAGAAGTTTGGTTGGAATTAATATAAATGAGATATGTCTATTAATATAAATAAAATTATAAGTGAAATAAAAATTTATAAATAATAAAAATATATATTATTATTTTATCACCGTCCGTATCTTATTTTTTTAAAATTTACCGTATCCAAATGTCTTTGTCTTATCGTATTTGTATTTTGTATCGGTGTTCGTGCTTTGTACATCATTACCTATGCCAAGTAAGGCCCAAGACTATGTTGGTCTCCAATCTTGCCCTCCGACATTATACAACAGATGGGACCAAATCGAAGTAACGGACTTTTAGACTGGAAATTCCATGACAGCTACAAAATTGACGATAGAATCATATTGCAAGGCCTCCGCCCCTAAAGGCAATTTAAGTGGTTTTGAGACTAAGATCCCATTAGGGAGAAGGCCCAGTCAGAGAATACTTCTTCTTCTCAGTTTTGATTTCTCAATTCTCTCTTGCATATTAATCTTTAATTTTTCTTCTATTATAGAATTAATTAATAGTATTCATATTCATATATTAAATATAAAAAGGGATTCGTTTAAAGCAACTAAGCATTTGTGTCAATAACAGTAACAACTAGGAGATTGGAATATAGAGAAATTATGTTGAATATGTTTGTATTATTAATGTATCACTTGTTGGCTCTTACAACGAATATTATTGAATAAATCAAATTAGTTAGGACTTAACAAAATTAGAAAGTCTTCCTTTACAATAACTAAAAATCAATGATGAAACTTGTCTTCAAATTAGAACTTGAGCTATTTGTAGTTTGGTTCTTCAAATCAAAAACTAATTAATTAGTAGATTTAAACCCAATAGACGAGGGAATTGTGTACTTTACAAGATGGGTCTTCACATTTTTCTAACGGGCACATCAAATGTCTAATGACGAGAGATTAAATTGTGGGTTAAGTGTGATGCAATTTTAGAATTTGTATAATTCTATATATACAAAATAAAAAAATATAAAAATTTGAGAGTTGCAACTTTAAAATTATATATATATATATATACACACACACACACACATAAAAAATAAAAAAATAAAAAAATAAATAAAAAAGATTTTTTTTAGAGGCCCCACGGCTGCGCGGCCAAGGAGCCTCAATTGGCTCCATCGCTGACTAGTTCTCTTAATCATGAGAAGATTGGAGGACTGATGATAAGAGATGCCTCTCTGAATCCCAGAGAAGGCTTCTTCAATAATTATTGTTTATGACGTTACATGTATGCCAGATGTACTGGTATATAATTACAATGGTTAAGCCATAGCTATCATAATTTTGAAGAACCTTCTTTGGAAATTGTTTGTCCCCTCAATCATTTAGCACTAATCAATGCGGGCGACATTAGCGAGAGTGGCAGTCACACAGTTGGATTGGACTCTACCGAGTAATGACCATTAAATCAAAATCAATAATGCAATGGTTATCAATTGAACAAAGTCGACACCTTTGTCAGTATCTCGCACCTGCCCGCATGGTATGATATTGTCCCTGCCCACATGGTATGATATTGTCGGACCTGAACCTACACAATTTTGCTACAGAGTTTTAATCCCAAAAGACCTCGTACCAATTGGAGTTACCCCAACACATATAAGCACTTCACCTTTCCCTTACTCAGATGATGTGGGATTGTGCACCTCGCTAGTGTGGTAGTCTACCAGTGCCTCGCATCTGCCCACGGCACACCCGCACATAGGATCATCACAGTAACTTTGTAAACAATTTTCTATTATCAGAAAACTAAAAATTATATAATTTATTTTTTATTTTTTAAAAATTTATGTATGAAAATACATGTTTTTAGAGAATTATAAAAAATTGTTCTCTAAAAATAATTTTTTCTATTCTTTAAATTCTTAAAAACTGTGTTGAGAATTATAAACCAAACCTTTATATATATATATATATATATATATATATATTTGCAATTCTATTCAACAATTATATTTTTCATAATAAATATGTGAACTGTTCATAGATTTTCAAAGAAAGCTGCACAGCAACAATGGAGAGATGGTTGAGACATGGTTGAGACATCATGGCATGTTTTTCAATTAATTGTGTGTGTGTGTGTGTGTGTGTGTGTGTGTGAGTGAGAGAGAGAGAGAGAGAGAGAGGGGTGTGGGTGCAAATCAATTAGAATTATATCACAATCATGGAATATTGCCAAACTATCACGTACAGTAAAGTGTTATGGTACCAATCAAGTTGCTGTTAGAAACACAATATGAGCAGAGTAAGTCGGTCATGGTCTGCCCCTGTCATAACGCCAGTAAAGACCAAGCCATTGCTTGACCTTTCCCATTCATTTTCATCCTCTTTTTCAAAGATATCATCACACACGAGACACGACGCACTGAATGATAACTTTGATAAGGACATGCACGATTCAAACAATTTTATTTATTTATTTTTTTTTTCAGAAAAATTATCTATAGGTTATATAATAGATCATACTTTTTTTTCTTTCTTTATAAGACAAATTAAGCCCAATCAATTTTAATTAGATTTAGACAAATAATTCTTACTTCTAATTTTTTATTTATTTTTATTTTTTACCATTTAAGTTCTAGGGAACTCAAACTTTCATTTACACCCTTGCAAAATTAGATATAAAATTTAACTAAAATATATGTTAATATTTTATTAATATTTATAAAGTTTTTAAGGATTTTATACAATATTTATTTGATTGAAATGCAATTAAATCAATTATACTTTAAAATTCATAAATTGTTATTCACTAATTGACTAAAAATTAAAGGAATATGAAAAAGGATTACATATCAATTTTCAAATAAAACTTTACTTCTATTGGTTAAAGATTTAGTAGTTTAGAACTTAAATGAAAAAATAATAATTTAAAAATAAGATTTATTGGTCTTATTGATACGACTTATCCGTCATTTTAAAGGCAAAATAAGACTTCATTGTAATTTTTCCATCCCCTCCCTTGTTTTATTTTTTGATTTGATAAATACTCGCATACATAATATGTAGACGCTCACTGTGAAAACTAAAAACCTCTCACCTCCATCTGAGAGAAAAGAGCCATCTCTCGTATAAGTACTTCTTGACAGAGGCATGACCAAAAATCTAACATTTTTAATTTTCCAAGTTTCAAGTGCTTTTCAGAAAAATATGATGTTACCGTGAAAATTGTGAGTGAGATTTTATATATTTATTATTATTATTTATTATTTATTTTGCAATAACTAAAGTGAAGACAAGTTCCAATTGAAGCATACACAACCTTTCACAAGCGGCCGAAATAGGTGTCACGACGCCCAAAAGCATTTTATTACAATTCCTTGGGAAAATATATATATATGTGCGTGTGTCCCCAATCGGGATTTAAAAATGTGCATGAGTGCATATAACAAATCCATTTGATGCCCCATAACAAATCCATCGATGCCTTACAACAACTCCAATTGGTTGCCCTATGTGGCGTACAACATTGGGAGGAAAATATCATTATGTAAATTATTATGTAGTAGAATTGGTATGTTAATTATGCAAATTTGACCGAATTTTATTATGAAAGAAAAGGTTAAATAATACTTCAAATTTCAGATTTCTTACATGTTTTCTTTTTGTTGAGATTTATTGGAGATAGGAGTTACAGGACAACCCCTTTTTATAAGGAGAAATAAGAACTTAAATAAATAACTCTTTTTATATTTGAAAGGTTACTCTACTTATACTAGGAAGTATAAAAAGTCAATTAATGAATGTGTACAAGAATATGTATACATATACAAGTGTACCTTCTAGATGCATGAACACAACATCTTCTCTAGATTTCTATAGGTTTTAAAAACTAATCCCCAGTAAGAACATCACAATATGTAAATATATAACATACTAAGAGTACCAAAAAAAAAAAAAAAACCCTCTTACTTTTATCCCTTTTTCATATAATATTATATAATTTGTGTGTGTGTGTGTGTTTTTTTTTTTTTTTTTAATGTGTCCGGCTAAGCACAAGACTTTTAATTCAACTAGTAGTCTAAGCACCCTTGTAATTTTGATGGAAGGCACGTCGAAGTGGGGCCCACCATAAAGAAAAGAATAGAAACAAACAAGAACATGGTTTGCATGACCTTTTAATGGGGAAGGGAAGAGCTATAAAAAGTCAAAGACGGACAACCATGTCCACCACAATTAAGCACATACAAGAACAACACCAGGAGGCACCACTACCTTATTATCACTTTTTTGTCTCTCCTTCCCTCCCCACCCAACCCCTTCTCTCTCTCTCTCTATATATATATATATATATATGTATGTATCATCCTAATTCTTCTTCTGATCATATATATATATATTTGAGCTAATATTATTTCAATCCAACACTGATCATCATATATCTAAAGATGATTCGGGGACGTATGAGACTGCCTGGTTTCTGCATGAATGGGTGTTTTCGAGTCCATTCTCCTCCTCGACAATACAAGCAAACCTATAATTCCATTAAACCAGATGACAAATTCGCCGAGTTCTCTGTCAACAGCATTGATAATATGAGCTTCAACACCGGCGACACGTCGTCCAAAGGAGATACTGAAAGCGGCAATAGAGTGATGGTGGTGGTTGATTCCACCATTGAAGCTATGGATGCTCTTCAATGGGCATTGTCTCACACTGTACAAATCCAGGATACTATTATTCTCCTCCATCTAATTAAACCATCAAGACTAGGTATGTTCCAGTTACTATATAGGAATAAAATTAAACAATTAAGTGGTACTATATTTATATATAATATGTTTTTTTTTTTTTTTTTAATTGCAGGTCCGAATTCTAACAGACAAAAGGCCTATGAACTTCTTTGCTCTATGAAAAGTATGTCTCAAATGACACGACCTGGGGTAAGTAATTAAAATCTAATTTGTTTCCCATTTCTGAATTTAAAGGAAAGAGTATTATATGGATTAGCTTAATTTTGCAAATTCTAACAATTCTTACTTCTCACATTTTCTAATTGAAACACACCCACACATGATCATCTGCTTTTTTGTACATACTAAGGCACATGAATATAACTGTATATATTCATTCTTTTTCTTTTCTTTTCTCTTTTTTATTTTTCCATTTTTTATTATATATGTATGTATGATTACCTACCTTTCTATAAATATGTATTATTATTTAAATTTCTAGTACTTAATAACTTCATTTAGCCAAATGGTTCATTGTAAAGTATTAAGTTCTTAAAAAAATTTGGAATCTAAAAGACCAAGTCAAACCCATTTCTAAATGCAGGGGTATAACAGTTATTATGTATATAATAATATAGAGAGATAAAGAGAGAGATGGTGTTAAGTCAACAAGGCATATATTGCTTGTACCACCAACTAATTCAATGCCGACCACAAGTAAATACAAAACAAGAAGGGCTTTCTTGCAATTACAAATATTCATATATCATAGTCTAAATTCTGTAACATTTGGATATTGAAACCGTGTGAGTATGGTATTGATTAGGTGCACATTGAGATAGCATTACTGGAAGGGAAGGAAAGTGGTCCAACCATAGTGCAAGAAGCAAAGCAACGAAGAGTGTCACTGCTGGTCTTAGGGCAAAGAAAGCCATCGGTGGTTTGGCGTCTGCGGTCGACGTGGGCGGGGCGGAGGAGTCGCAGTAGGGTTGTGGACTACTGTATCCAACATGCTGGTTGCTTGACCATTGCAGTGAGAAGAAAGAGCAAGAGATATGGAGGGTATTTGATTACCACTAAGCGTCATAAGAATTTTTGGCTTTTGGCTTAGAAATACAAACGTTGGTATGGTTGATACATGTGAAAAATGGTTGTGATTGTCATGATTGTGGGGTTAATGTCATTGGATTTATGTTGGAAATCAAGTGTATAAAAAAGTTGTGTCCAATTTCATGACTCTAGATATCTAATTGTACTATAGTATCTATAAATAGCATAAAAACTTTGTTGTTTGAGGACCATGCAGATCATATGAAAAAATTCATCAAAAATTCATTTGTAGGGTATGAGATATATGTCATACACTTTTAACTAGACATACACTTAAAAAAAAAAACATATCAAATAATTTAATTTTATTACATCATTAATTTTAAAAGGGTAAAATGCTTATATTGAACTATCTATTGTTTTACTCTAAAAAATAAAATAAAAGTATTAAATAATATAAATATTTAACAATATGCATAAGTCCCTCTGTTTAGAGAATTGACATGTTCAAGAGAATTGACATGTTCAAGTCCATGTAACAAGGTTCGGGAGTAAGAACAGTTACTCCAAATATATATACATATATTGACATGAAATCTATGTATTACAGGGCAGCTGTATCCATCATTTTGAAGCCCTCACATACTCTGTTTCCTCGACACAACTCCAAAAATTCTACAGCAGCCCCTTCGATTAGCTTCTTTTTCCATATAAAAAATTGCAGCTTGCCACATCAGAAGTCACAATAGCAACTACATAAAAACACCTCCTAAATACTTGACTCTCAAAGCTAAAACTGACAATTACCCATAAATTTCAATTTTCAAATGAACTATTTGTTACTAACGGTAATGCAAAAGTACTAAAGTAGTGTACTTATAAAACCTTAGCAAATAAAAAATGCTAAAAAGAGAGCCAGAAAAGCAACTAGTTAAATGCTCACCAATTGTAGATATCATTTGCAATAGTAATGCCCTGAAAAGTATGTTCAGAAATCATCTTACAATGACCATCTTATCTGTTTGAAAATTTAGGTAATGGGGAAAAAATATATATATAAATAGAAATAAAAAGGAAAGAAAACAATATTTCGCTTCAACTACATTGTAATCCAAAAGAGCTGAGAGATTATTACAAGAGTTGCTACAAAACAAACAATTCTATAGCTTGCAAAATGGGGATAAACCAAAAACAAATCCCCCCACACACCTTTACCTGATACATTTTTGCTTCCTAGTCTATAAGAATCATGTTTCCTTTCAAGATTTTAAAATGGAAAGATGAAAGAGAAAAGGAGAAACTCCTAGCATCAAAATTTTCTACTGCTAACTCTATAGTATAGCTTCGAGAAATTGTAAAAATGTTGAAGAATGCATAAAATTACCCACAGTCAAAAAGTATCAACTTGTAACACAACCTTGGATATATGGATGACTCTGATTCACATACCGTTCCCATAGAGGTTTATACCTGCCAATAGCCAACTTCAGCCACGGCTTCATGTTCCCATTGAAGTGAATGACAGCTGCACTCTCAATCAGACGGCTGTCAATATTCAGGTCATAACCCAGTCCTAATACATGCCATCTCCGATCAAGAGGCTCTGTCAGTCCATAAAAAGCTAAGAGGCCCGGAGGAAGTGTGCCCAGCTTCCAGAGTGACCTATCGGCATTCCTTTCCTGCCAGTAATGATACCGTGCAGTCACATTTGCTTTCCTCCATGCAATCAAATCAAAAACATTCATACCAAATGCCCAGCCGCAAGCCTGCGGGTCAAACTTCGAACTAATGGTTGGATTTGAGAAGTTGAGATACTTGTAATAACGATGAAATGCTTCAAGACAAGTTTCCACAGCTCCATTCACGTTTCCATGTAAATCCAGTGAAAAAAGAGGGGTGAGATCCTTCTGGACAACAACATCATCATCAAGAAAAACAACCTTCTCCAGCTGGGGACAGATCTCTGGGATGTAAAACCGAAGATAATTCAACAAATATAGGTACTTTGGATGCCGAAATTTTGGCTCAACTTTCATATCTTGAGACCCTCCAAAATAGAACGCCCGAGAATCCATTTCAAGTAGCTGTTTTGCAACAGGAGAGTAAGAACCATTTAGCCAAGTAAAATTCTCAATGTTCTGAACTTCTATTGTGCATCCTCTGAAGTCATTCGTCAGAAACCAAGCCTGCATTGCCCCATAGTTGACTCCATTTGTAACAATGTGGAAAACAAGCTGCTTTGGATGGTCGGCATTGGAGATGGTGGAGTTGATGACAACCGAAACAGCCAGCAGATTATCTGAAAATATGCAGAAGTGGTACAGATTGTTGTCCACAAGTCGGGGAGAGTTGCTCTTCTCGTCTGCGAGCTCTTGGAGGGACTTCTTTGTAAGCCAATCAGCCATGAGTTTAATATTTAGGCAGTGGAGATTTTTAGGCAATGCTTCAGCAGCCAATTGTCCAAACACCGTACTTTGAACTGATGCTGCACTTGCACGCTCTTCAAGGGCTTGAATATGAGATTTCATTGTCATTATTGTGGTAGCAATGTCATAATGGGCATCTTTTGCCTTAAAGATTAGAGATGAGAGGCTTTTAATGATAGATTCTGCTTCCTCTAGTGTGATGAGCTCCTCCCTCATGGCAGCCTTTGAGAGCAAAAGCTGGCAACTTCTGATCTTTGAACTGAGCTCCCAAGCAAGGTGAAGGTTATTGTGCTCCTTCGCAATAATAACATAAGCTTTTGCAAGTGTCATTTGTTCTGCTAATTGCCTGGCATATGATTTAGCACTCAACATATCTTCAGTAAAATTTGAATGTGCATGGGTAATGTGTTCGTGTATGTCTTGTTTCTCCTGGTGAAAGAAGGAAATCACATGCCAGATTAGTCGTCAACAGAGTAATTAGAAAACCATAACCAATCCAACAACTTATACAGTAAGAACAGTGAATAATTCAGATGAAAGGATTTCCTTAGAAGTTTCGAAGGGTTTGAAGCATTTAAACTAAATTGGAATACAACAATCTTATCAGGGAATAGTGATGTGATACATACACAAAGGCCTACTAGTATGCCACAAACATATGAAACGAATGTTAAGGCAGCTATGTCAATTGAACAACACATTTAAATTGTATTACTACCAGCGACCAAACTATTATATTGCTAAAATATATCTTCTACATGTATGACATTATAGGTAAGATCATGCTAACTATTAGTTTAGTATCTTTGTATCTGATGTCATGGTGCTAAAACTCACCGTATTCTTCAGATCTTCCACATTACCAAAGATAACTAGGACAGATATTCTTTTCTTTTCCCCAATCCAATTTTATTAATTATTTTCATCAGATAACTAGACATAGTTTTATCATATGATAGATAGGACATTATTTAACTTAAGACTGACTCAAGTTCTTGGGAACTCAAAATTTTGCATTTAAGGGTAAGGGTGCATGAAACACATATGAAAGCTACAGTGGACCAAGACTAAAGAATTCTCGTAGCATAACCCCATTACTAAATCATTCGATGCATTTTACTATTCTTGTCAAGAAAAATACCTTACATGATTTTAATTAAAGGTCTATCTGATTAACCAACCAGCAGGTCAAGTTGAAAATGAACAGTTGATCAAGACGAGCAAAGATATTGATGGAACAGCACAATAACAAAGGATTCCAGTTGATCAACAAAATTTGCTCATTAATTAAAAAAGTAGAATAGTAGATTCCATTTACACATATTGGATAGTCTCTAGTGTAACCGCCTAACAAGAAAAGGTAGAAATTAACATTATCTAACACAGTTTCTTCTTCTAGAAAAGTGAACCCTTACTTCTGCAAACCTACAGTATTGTGACAACTTCCAGCTCCAAAATTGTGATTCTCAACATAAATGCAAGCCTATAACATTTGCAGTTCTTTTGCCGCAAAACCATCAATCTATCATGATGGAACCATGAACCAGCTTAAACAGACACAACAACAACCAAAGAAGAAGAAGAGCTAAACTGTCATTGGTACGAGCGTCTCCAATGCTCTCTCAAATGTCCTCTCAAACCCAAAATATAGGAGATTTTGTTTTCTGATACACTCCAATGGTGTGTGCTATACAGCCTCTCAAAATATGGGATTCTCAAAACTTTTCTCATATATAGCAGGTTGCTATAAGTTGAAAACATGAGATACTAAGCCCTTTTTTTGGATTTTTGTGCAGATATGGGCTGGAAAGTACATGGAAAAGCAAGAATAATGACTTGATTAAAATAAGGAAAGTAATTGTCAAAGTGTCAGCACAATTGGAGCAGAATTGCTAAAATATAGCATTTTGGCACTGTATCTCCTCTTAAAATATAACTTTACCATGGAGAAATAACATTTTGCATTAGAGATGCTCTAATCTAGGAAAAAAAAAAAAACTGTCATTGATAGGAATACTGTGAAGTTCTTGAAAAATAAAGTAAAAATCTACTTCCTCATACAACCATTCATATATGGTAGGAAAAGGGACCATCATCGAGTCAATTTCAAATGAAATTGAAATTCCACTTTCTATTGCTTCATTTATGCTGTAAAATTTAGATATATATCTAACCTAAAATAACTTATGTTACTTTCAATTAAGGTTGCAATTTTATAAATCATAAATTTAAGTACTTGTGAAATCATTTTATGTGCAACCAACTCCACCACATACTCACACCATGATACTAAGATGTATCCCATTAGATATAAAATTTATTTGTCCATCTGTAATTTGAGTTTCAGTAATGTAAAAGAAAGAGCTTGCCTGCCATGGTAAACATGGCTGGGGGCATTTTCAAATACAAACCTACATTAGAGTATCACACTTGTTTTAGGAGACCGTGTTGCTCCCTTGGATGTCATATTAGCACCGCTACTGCTCTAGACCATGATTCTGCTTAGCAATTTAAAAAACTTTTATGACTTCTTTTATATATTTTGAACCTCTGATACATAATTATTTAGTAAAATAATTTTATTCAACCAAGGTTAACATGATTTCAATACCTTAATTATCCATGTAAAGATTCACTGGTCCAAACTGTGATAAAATCTATTTGACAGTACTACATAAATGATTCAAAACGGTTCTCCTTTTTGCTTGATACGAGACAAAAAATAGAAAAGGAACAATATCAAAGGAGAAGTTCTGACCATTATTAGAGCAGGAATGATTCTTTATTTCTAACTTCTAAGGGAGAATATTTTCAAGGGCATAAATAAATAATCTCATTACAGAACTTAATTGGAGAAAATATTCCAAATAAAACTACAATTGAACACCTAATACAACCTTAATACAACAAGAAAATCAGCCTTAAAATCAGCAAATTAAAAGACTACATGGAGATAAAAAGTTAGGGCTAAAGCATGGGCTCAATCTCTTTGGTGATCTAATCATATGACTAAAGCTCCTCTAGAGATGCAAATCCCCCACTAAATTCACAAACCCTCATTCTTATATGATTTATGCAATGTCTCAACATGGTCTTCAATAAATCCGGAAAATAAATCAAGGGAAACTAAATTGCTAGAATGACCAGAACGAGCCAGATCATGCAAAGAGACATTGACATAATCTTCCAATACCCACAAGTGTAGCTAAGGTTGCCTTAATTCTTATACATAGTTATTAAAATATTTTATGCCTCTCATCGGACATCTTTTTAGTCATTATTATCATATTGAATAATTTTGCTAGTCAAGAGACGCGGTCATCACCTAACCACCTTCAAGCCTCAATAGCACTGCCACCAGGTCCTCAAATCTTCATATTTTCATTTTAACCACCTCATTTGCTGATCTTTTGGGAAAATATATTTTCTCTAATCTCCTTATGTTACCATAACCTTCAAAACCTCCACTTCTTATAGGACTTTCATTCAACAGCTTCTCAAAGTAAATTTCCACCTTTCTCTAAATTGATCATCTTTCACTAAAACATTTACATTCTCACTAATCGCCCACTTAACTTTATTAAAAAATTTATTTTTCCTCTCCTTTACTTAGCAAGACTATATATCCTTTGTACCTACTTCAGAATAAATATCATATGCTCTATACCTAGTTTCTCTCTCACACTTTTAACTTCTTTGGATGTTTGTATTTCTCAAAGGTTTCTTCCAGTAGTTTTTGCCACATTTTATAACACTCCGTTTTAGCAATGGTCTAGCACCCTCATTCCATCATCTAAGTTCCTTAGGTAATGGCCTTCTTCCTTTTGATTCCACAGAGTCTCTTTTACTATTATTTTAATAATTGCAGCCATCATAGTCTACGTTAAATTAAAAAAGAAACAATAAAAAAAGAAAAGAATGTCATTGTCATGCCATTTTTAATATGTTGGAAACTGGACCAACTAAACTGGGTATGTACATGATTCAAGATGTTCGAACAAGTCTACAAGATCTACAAATCTTTCCCTTCTTGGGCTAAAAAATCTTCCATTCATAGTGATACATCAAAGAAATGACAAGCACCCACCTGACTTCCTGCTTGTGTTTGCTTTTCAGCAACTAGCACCAGGATATCTCATAATAATTATTCATTTCATGAAGAATACTCTGTCGATGAAGAGCTTATGATTAAAAAAAAGAAGAAGAAGATGGAGAGCTTCCCATTTCTTTAGGTTCAAATGTACATTTATGCCTAAACAACCACACAAACGGAGCGCTTCTCAGAGAAGAATGGTGTTAAGTATTGAACTACTGACCGTGGATGTTTCAGAAACTCAGAATTTCCAAGCGTGCTATGTGCCTTTCATCTATATCTGATTGCCACTGCTAACCAGAAACAAGAATGCAATTTTCTAGTGGTGTGTAACTCCATCTTCAAATCCTTCAGATACACACATAGGGCAGGAGAACCATCACTCAAAATTCAGTCCTCGAAACACAGAAGACAGAGCTTCCTATTTGATAACACAGAGATGACAAGAAAAAATTTATGTATACACATTCTGCCCTTATGGAATGCTTGATAATATAGCTTCATGATCCACCGCAAAATTATCTTCCTAGTGGGAGATGTATCAAATAGAGGCCTTCCCCTCACAGAGAACCTACTAACTTTGGAAACAACTCAATGCCTCCAAAATCACTACTGTTGGATCCATTTTGGAATTAATTAATCCAATGGACATACCTATACTAAAAGTTAAGCTAGTCAAGCTAATTAAGAAAATTCAGGGCATAAAACTATGCTAAATTTTTACTTGATTCTTGCCACAAATAGAATTTATTCTACACAACCCTCTGAAGAATAGTGTTGACTCCATCAGTGAATTCCTATATAGTTATAACTTGACATTAGAGTAGCAAAAGCAATTTCAAGGCTGCTTAACAAACATCATTAAAAGACATAACAGAAAATGACTTAATTTCAACCCAAATTGCAGCCTGCTTGCCAAAATTTTGCATTCAAATACTAATTTCGAAACTTTTTTAGCCCCTCATCTTATCAAATTAAATATATATAAATAAAAAAATAAAACTAAAAACCTTTTTCTTCCGATATTCACAGAAAGTAACCATAACCATGTCTAACAGAACAGATAAATTCTCAGTAGATGCGTCTCTATAAGTAAAGATCAACTCTATCAAATTAAAAAGTGATTTATTACAAGAAACACATGACAATCCAAGCAACATAAGAGGAAACAGATTTAAAATAATCAAGAAACACATGATAATCCAACAAACATAAGATGAAACAGATTAAAGTAAGATGTTGGAGTGCTCTCGTCTTACCTGTATGGGCTGTTCGATTCGATCGTCGTGCTGATGATTATGATGAACAACAAACAAAGCAAATCCAGCAAAAGCGAATAGCCCAAGAAGCACCCAGATCCAATACGAGAACCTCCTTCTAACCGGGCGCCGGTAGTCCGCCGCCCGCCGCCGCATGTTTCGCCGGTTCGTTCCACAATTCACAACCAAATCAAGAATCTAAAATCCCCCATCACCCAGATTGGATAAGAAAAGCAATGAATTAGACCCATCACTCTCACTAAATCAAAATTTCAAAACTGACCCATCAATCAATTCAAAAACAAAATCAAGAATTCGGAGCAACCCATCAATCAGATTGAATCAAGAAAGCAATGAAATGTTGTATCTCTCACCAGCTATGTTTCTTGTGACTTATAGGATCAGTTAGTCGTGTGAACGTGAACTCACCCTGTAGGCTATATATATATAAATAAATATATACACCTTTGAATCTAGATTTAGCTGATTTTGGAGGTAAGGAATGGAATAAAGAGGACTAGTGCAATCTGTGCATTGGATAGGAGTGAGGGAGAGTAAAGTTCTGGACAAATGCTTTTGAACGTGAAGAGCTCTCTCTCCACATGAATATCAATCTTGGGGGAGGGAAAGAGGAGAGGAAAAATGTGAATCCTACGGCACTACTTCGAATCAAGGAATTAATTGGGCAATTACAATTAAGAAGGGAGGGCCGGCAGATGTGAGCGAGCATGTTTGGTAATGCAAATAGCATATGAATCCAACTCGGGCGTTTTTGGTTTAGTCTTCAGTTCTCAAAAATTCGGAAGGAGAGAAGTTTTTCTAGAGAATTGTAGTAAATAGTAATTCTTGAAAATAGTCCTTTTTTTCTAATTTAGAATTTAGAAATTATATTTTCTACATTTTATGATTTATAATTTTTAACATATGGAAGATTGTTTTAGAAAACCAGGTAATTTTTGGATGACCGCAATAGATCATGTAGTCTAACGTATAACCTCCCAAAGGAGAAGCGTAAAGATTCAAACCAATTATAGTAAGAATAATCCACAAAACCTTCGTTGGTTGGACGTAAAATATTTTTTAAAAAGTATATCTTTATTTTAAAATATTTGATTGTCATAAAATATTTATAAAAAAATATATTAAAATTTAACAAAAATATTTTATCCATAAATTTTTGAGCCCGATGAACTCGACCTCAACCTCGACGTAAATCTTTACCAAACACCGATAAAGTAAAAATAAAAGAATATTTTACCTGGGAAAAAAAATTCCAAAAATATATATTTTTTATTTTTTTTGCAAAAAGGGATTTTTTTTTTTTTTTTAAAAGTAATAATAAAAAAAGGCTCTTAGAAAGACTCCATATAAATATAATTACTTAGAATGTTACTTAATTTAATTGGTTTTCTTTGTTAGTGATAAAAATATATATTATATATATTTTGTCAAAAAAAATTTATTATATATTTTGTCCAAATTTTTTTTTTTTTATTGATTTTAACTAAATGTCATTATTTGATAGACTTCTACTAAACTCTCTCTTTTTCCACATCCTTCTATATTTTTCTCAAATTCTTCTAACTCGTTATTATATGTTTTAGGATAAAGTGCAAAGAACCTTCCTAAACTATATTTGAATTTGCAAATACCCCCATAAACTATATTTTGTGCATAAAATCCCCTAAACTATCATATTTTTTTGCAATATACCCCAATGCCTATAGTATATTTCATTAAATGACCATAACACCCCTTCTTATTGAATTACACTTAAGCTATTTTTCTTATTTAAATAAATTTTGAAAAAAAAAAAATCATATTAATTTGATGACATATTAAATTTGCATAAATTTACCTTTAATTTTTTTAATTAATTTTTTAAATAAAAATCATTAGTGGAATTTTTTTTAAATAATTAACTAATTTTTTAACATTATATATTACATGAAAAAGAAAGTACTTTTAATTTAAGTACTTTATTAATTTTTCATCAGTATATTGTACGAAAAAAAGATCATTTTTCTACTGTAAGAAAGTTTAAATTGGTTATAATAAGTTTTATTATAAATAATAAAATTTTAATAATAAGTTAATCATTTTAGAAAATGGTAGTTACAAATCTATTTATCTTTTTTTCATTTTTATTATAAATTGATACTAATAATAAAATTAAGGTAAATAATATAATTAATATTTGGGTTAATTCCACCTACAACCCCTGACCTTTGACCATATCCCACCTACACCCTCTTGGTTTCAATATTCCACCCACACCCCCTGTATGTGATGACCGTGTACTTTAATAACAGAATTATGTGATTTTACATTTTTGCCCATCTATTATATATTAATATTTAAAAATAAATTGTATACAACACTAAAAGACTAAAATATCATTTTTAATTTGTCTGTTACCTACTGTGCATTTTCCATCATCCTCCGGCGAGAGATACCGGCCATCTCTAAAACCTCACTTCCTTCGTAAACCAAGTAGTGGCCGTTATGATCCAAAACTGACCCTTTGATGCTCAGCTTGCTTCGTCAACAACCACTCTCACTTCCCATCAACCATGGACTATTGACGGTGTTTCTGAGGTTCTAAGATCCATACTCACATTCTTCTTTCAATCCACAAGATCCATTGGTCGTTAGAAAAGTTTCAGACTAATCTTCGTCGACAAAGCCATTTCCGGCGGCGGCACACCACTTATCCCGCCTTCACTAGGCTTCGTCGACACCACTGGGATCTTCCCAAAGATCTCTCAGCAACAAGACCCTCAAAACCCTGAAAATAATCAAACACTGTCTGCGTCACCAACGCCTGAACAATCCTAGTATCGATCACCCCATTAACCCTTGATATGTGCAGAGTGTAACTTCCGGCCAGCATGTTAGAGTTGCTCTGCATAATCAATCGGATTTGATACCAGTTGTTGTAGCGGAAACACAAAATAAACAACGTCGTTCAAGGAATAAACAAGCAATCACAAATAATAATAAAAATCACACACAAGAACACAAGATATACATGGGTCACTCAAATCTTAGGGCTACATCCATGGAGCACACCGAACAAATTCACTATAAAAAATTATAATGGAGAATTTTTGTTAGACCAAGAGCAAGAGGGAGTGAATTGGTCTAAGTAAATTCTTTCTCTTTTTCAAGCAGACTTTAGAATGAAAACATACTCAAGAGAATAAGAACAACATAAACACACCACAACACAAGAATTACAAGGAAAACCTCTCAATAGGGAAAACCTTGGTTCTTGGCCTCTGCCACTAAATGATCCACTAGCTACAAATACTTTGTTACACACTCAGCTGCCTCACTCTCTGTACACACCTTGTACTAGTCAAAACACTAGTTTTCACAACCAATACTCACACACTAGCTCACCAATGTGCACACATGCACTTTCCCTGTTCTAAGTAACCTAGCTTGGACACCAAAGCTCTTAATAGTTTAATCAACAATGGGGTATGGTATCAAAGCCCCACTACCATTTACTAGAGGTGTCAATACACCAATTACAACATGTTACAATTGCACCACAAGATTAAATTGATACACAACCTTAAGTATACACAATGAGAAACCCTAATAAACTCTTCTCTGCACAAGAAGGATACAACTACCAATTCACCATGCAGCTTCAAATGATGATCACACTAGGTTCTCACAGTCTTGATTTAGTTCAGCAAACTTGCTCAAGTAAGTATTCAACAGTGAATAACAAGTTCCTTCAACAATTCCGCTCAATTAGAATCTTCACTCAATTCTGAGGGTATTTCTGTCATCTTACAAAATATCTTCACTAAGGGCCCCTTTTTCTGTCTTCATAGCTTTATAAACTCATAACACACTTGCTCAAATGATGTACACAATAATCAAAACAAGATAGAACAATGTCAACCCCAAAACAGTTTATATTTTACAAATAAGCTTCATCTATCAGCAACATAATACTCAACCAATGTAACTCTTCTGTTCAGTTCAAACCTCAACAATATTTGCTCTTTAACTTTACTTTATACTTGCTCAACATATTAGATTCAAGAACCAAGCAAGTTACAACAGTTCAGTACACAATTCAGGAGATTACAGCACACAACAGACTATTTTAGGCTGAAAACAACAACACCACAATTTTAAGGGTAAATCAAGAATTTCAAATTTGCTCAGGGCTTGTTCAGCTTCTCACACTCTTGTTTAAGCTTTATATTCATGTTTAAATGAAGATTTCAGTGATAGAAACATGATGTCTAATTTTCAGTTCTCAAATCTCAGTCAACAAGGTTAAAACCCTAGTGAGGAGTGGTTTATAAGCTCAATACTCAAAACAGCCAATTTCCTGAGTTGAATCCTACTTTAACAGCTTCAGACTATCAATTAAATCATGCTCAGTAGTTAGCTTCAAGGTTCTCAATGAGATAAATCAACACATATCAACACAACATCTATTACACCATAAAATACTCAAATAACAAGCTCTGAAGGAACTTATTCTGCAGTTGTGTGTATTTGAGTTAATACCTGGCTTTAGTAGATGTAAATAGGAGTATTGAGCATGCTTTAACCTTCACTAGCTTTTAGAACCAGACTTGACCCTCCAAAGCAGCCCTTAACAGCCCTTTAAACCTCAGCGACACTTGATTCTCAGTAAATCTTCAAGAGTTCTTTCACACACACTATTTTTTGAGATTTATACTTAGCTTACATAGATAAATCATTGCTCAGAAATAAACATTTAACACTTCTTCATGTTTTTCTCAAGACCAGCCTCCTTTTTGTATAGAGAATGAATTTTCAAGCTTAAAACCTAGCAGCAGCTGTAGGATTGCTTTTATATTCAAACCCTTGATGATGCAGCCCTAAAATCAATGGATAGGATTGAGTTGAGGACCTCCAATCCGTAAGGAGAGCAATTATGACATTATAGAGGTGATTTTACTTTTATACCCTTGCTAACTCACCTTCTTTTGGCCTGCAACTGACAGTTCTTTGTTAGGCTATATATATGTGTGTGTGTAAATACTCCAGCTGCTGTATTACACTCACCACTGTATAGCTGTCAATACATTCTCTCATAAGGACCACATTCCACGTGTCCACACCAGGCAGCCTCTTACAGAATTCCATAGTGCCCTTTTTACACTACACATGTCAAACACATATAAGACAGGCCTTAATAACCATGATTCAGCTGAATTAAGTTATCTTTAGAGTATAAATCATACTCTTATCATGTTGTAGAGAGCAGAGCACCTTAAAATGATTACTGTGAAGTTACATGAATGCCTTTTATCATTCCGCATTGTAGCTATACAGTCCACCTTACATGTAAATCAGAATTAGTCTTCTTTGCCACAGAGGCATAGAAGTCAAGTGCAAGCTGCTGGTACAAGTGATATATATTGCTGAAATGGCCAAAACATAATGCAGAATTACAGAATCATCCTCAGAAGATAATTACAGAATTACCCTCAGAAGATACCCTTTTCGTGTCATTAGAAGAGCAAACCTCAAGATAGCTCCTCAAGATAAATAGCTATCAACAATCTCCCCCTTTTGCCTTTTAATGACAAAGCGTTGATATTCTCCCCCCTTTTTGTGAGTGAAAGTCAAAAGGGATTAAGGAACCAACAATTACATAAAGAATGGAATATCTTCAAAGGCATTTGAGTAGATAACACAATTACATATGAGAATAGGCTTGTAAGATACATATGCTCTGATGTATCATAGGTTGAGGACAATACTGTATAGG